CATGGGAAGAACTGCGAAGGTTAGATTCACATCCTAAAGACTTTCTAGCCTGAATTTTCTTGTGGGCTGACCCGAGAAGGCAGTAGGCAATGCCCTTCTGTAAATGCCTGTCACGACATTCAGAACGGCGAACACCGCAAAAACCACGTACCTTGGCATTCTCGGATTCGGTACAAAATCATGCATTTTAAGTTCGGGTCTGGTCTGCCTTGGCCAGCTTGCTATTCTGTGCCTCCACCCTATGACCCTAGACCAACGCACATACGAAAGTGATATCTAGCAAATGAAAGATGCAATTTACGAAATTCCTTCGGCCAAGCACGAACTGTCGGAAAACATCTCCCAGAATCTTCCATGACTGCCAGAGAGTACTGGTGTTCAGACATCTTGGACCTTGATTCGTATTCGGCTGCGGCAGCGGTCTGCCCCTGTGCAGTCCCAGACAACACAGCAAGCTGTGCTCTGCAACTCATTTTATCAGATTGTCGTATAGTATGGTATACTCTGATATAAGACTCCCAAAAATACACTTCACTTGAGCTGAATTTGGTTGTCGCTTGCTTTCTTCCAATCCTGCCTTCCTTCTGCGCTTCAAAAGAAAACCTGCGCTGGTTAGGGTTGCGTGCTTTTCACGGAAGTTGTCGGGTTTAAGAGGACGATTAATGCGCAGCCAGAACAACTCAAGTTCGGTCAAGCCGCAAGATCATGCTGGCCTCGGCAGCAGTGAGATGCAGCAAGGCTCATGGACTGGCAGTGTCGTGCTTCATTCTTCCATGCTACGTGGCTCAACTGCGGCATTACTCACTACCGATATCGCCAGGCTTCAAACTACGCAGCCCTGAACCACAATACCAAAATGACCGGATCACAGAAAAGCTGCACCAAACAAACCCAAAAAGAAAGCAGGAACACCAAACAGACTTCCTCGCGAGCTTCCCCGGTGCTGCTCGAGGTGCCACCGCCAGGTAAGAAACTGCAAATAGGGGGTCGAGCGCCTCCATCGTGTGTGAGTGAGCAAACTGATGCTGGTAAGGAACGTGCGACATGTGAACAAGCGCGGGGCAATAGCGTTGACGAATACACCAGAAGCAAGCATGAGACCAAACGTGTTACTAGCAACAGTGACACCTATAGATCGCACATGTCAACTCTCGGCCGTCTTTCTGAGAGTCTCCAATAATGTCGTGAACTTATGCAGGCATTACTCGAGAAACCAACTAAGCTCATCCGGAGTTTCGCAATTATTGAAGCAGTGCCAACAACCGTTTTGACCTAATGTCACCGATCGTGTCAGGAGAACAAGCAGTCTGCAAACAAAAGGTGTGGACATCTGTCTTCTGAGCTCGAGGCAACACAAAGTTTTAGGGTTAGAGACGACTGACTCAAAGATGTTGGGTTTGCGGGTCTCGGCCGTGAGCTCCTTGTTCCTGTAGTAACATAACACGGGCACCAGGTAGACCAACCAGAAAGCAAACACCCTTGATCTCTTCTCCCACCAAATGTCCAGGTGGGGAACCCAGCTCCGCTGCTGTAATTGTAAGTTAGCCAAAAATCCAGGTCGTCTAGTCAAACCTGCCTTCCTGTCGGGTGGGAAGCCTTAGCAAACAAACACGAACCTGAACCAACACCGTACTTCAAGCATCGGAATCGAAGTCAACCCCCAGATCCCGAATCTCGAGCACCTATATACGCAAAACCCTAAATCCCAAACCCCCTAAATCTTAAACCCTAAACCCTAAATCCTAAACCCTATACCCTAAACCCTATCCTTAGAATTCCGAGTCAATACCAGGCCTCGCCCCAGCTCAAACCACCAGTGATGGCCATGAAAAGCGTGAGGATGCTCTCCTCAAACCGTGGAAGCATGGAGGATCTATAGGGTTTAGAGCTCCTTAAAGGGTTCTATAAGGGATCCATATAGGTACATGGGAGTTAGGATTAGGGGGAATTTTGGGGAGTGGAAGCATGACACATCATACTCTCACCTGTAACCACTACTCTGTAATCTCATCACATTGGCGGGTGAATGTATCATGCATATACCACTGTCACGTATGGCTTACGATGGAGATATTTTTCTGCAGAAGATTGAGGCCATGGGCTCGCCTGAATCGGAGTTGCTCTGGAAACGTGCGGTAAAAAAAAACACGCAGGAACTGCGCGACAACCTGGGCTTGAGACAAGCCGCGCCGATGGAGGACCAAAATCTCACGAGGAGGGGGTCACAGCTGATCGTGCCGTCCTTCAGGGCTCACGGATGTCGTCAAACAGTAGTCTGAAAGACTAGCAGACGCTAGCAGAGGAGGCGTGCCGATCAGCCGTAGCACATGCTGCGCTGCAATCACCGTGGCATCTGCAGCAGCTGCTGCAGTGTTTAAATTTTGACCGGCACCGGCATCTGTACACCAACACCACCAGTAAGACAATCGTCATTCTCACTTGCTTCATCTGCTATCCACCACAATTTCAACAAGCCGTTGGTCTGAAACAACCACCATCAGCACCCACGCCAAACTCCTACCTAAACCCTGCACTCGCGGGTGGTCCTCCTTCGGATATCTGCAGTCATCCGTGACGATCCTACAGTGCCAGAGGTGGAAACTTACAAAGCCGAGGCTGCCAAATCTCCGTGTAGCTGTCTAGATCTCTACAGTAATTGATGAAGGATTCAATGTGCTGGCCATGATGCTGAGTGAGAGGCTTCATGTTCAGAAGTTCAACACGGTTCCTGACTCTCAGGTTTGACCGCCTGCGCAGACAATCAGTATCAGTATCAGGTACATCACAGCTACCTCAGAAAACGTGGAGTCGCATCGACTAGATTTGAAAGCCGCGGAAGGCCCTACATCTGGATCCAAAATGCACAGTGCCTCATGATGCGGGACAGCTTCGCGATTGCAGTTGGCTATGGATCATGATATTCGGGATTTGCGAACAAACTTGTGCCAAGGTGCTGCGTGATTACTACTCCGAAGCAGTACCACAGGATTGCCAACAGCACCAGTGTCCACCTGGCGTTGACAGGAAGAAGCAGCCTGCTGATGAGTATTGTTGGGCTACTCAGGCGACTCATACAGATCCAGGTATTCGTGATTTGACAAGCTGACACTCTCTCCCAGACCTTACCTGCCGAGCCAAAAAGAAACATCCTCGAAAACTGGACGACAACCCGAAAAATTAGCCTGACAACAGACAGACAGAGACATGTTGCTCCATGAAGCCACGGCAACACTGAAGATGATTGGTCTGGAAGCCCGGGCCTCCATTTATGTTGGTTAGGCGCGAAACCACAAGTGCATCCTATCCAATTCGCTATCACATGGCTCGCTCTGGTTGCAACATGCACCGACTGAGTTCGACAGGAGAGCCACAGGAGGGAGCTCATTGTGCTGATGATGGAGAAGATGATAGTACGAAGGGCTCCGATGTAGCGCAGGAGCTTGATCACCTCGGACTTCCAGCTCTCGACCCGTGAGCACTCAACGACATTGGTTTTTATGCACATCCGACTCGACGAGCTGGGACGCATCTGCGTCTATGAGTCTATGAAGCAGTCTAGTTAGTTCAAAGCATATCCAATCTCCTGACGCATGCTTGCTCCACCTGGCAGCAAGATTATGTCTCGAGCTGTCTTTGTCTAATCTGTCGTCGCTTCACGGAAGAAGGCAGAACCATCTAGTCAAGGATAGCACATCGAGCGTACCTAGTATGCTGAGACTTCAACCCACGTTTGTGCCCTCGGGTGCCTTGCAAAACAGGTCAGAAGATTGAAACACATACGGGTTTCTGTACATGCCTCGAGCCACTTTAGAGCAATTTCATGTGCTCTCTGAGGACCCCTTAGCCAAGATTAGTCCAAACGAGAAGTGCAGCTGATGCTACCGTCAGAACAATTCAGATGCGCACGTTGTGGGAAGTCCGAGTGGACGAACACTAAGCGATGTCCCAGAGTCACACGGTGCTTATCGGAAGTCCTGCAAAGAGTCTGGATGTAGATAGTGGACCCCTTTCAAGTTCAAAGAAGTTAATTTTCCAAAGCATGCGTGTGGACGCGCACACACACACACACACAAAGGGCGAAATCAAAGCCATGGCGCTCGCACCCCTCGCAACGCCCTGGCCAAGCGAGCAAAGCGCATCACCCGCAGGTGGCTTGAGTCCATCTGAGAGACCTTAGGTTTGAGAGTGGATGAACATTCCTAACGGTGAAGAAGCAGATGTGGCATTATGCGACTTCCTAGTCTTTTGTGGGCTAACTACTTGTGGTTCGAGGCTCCTGGGGATTGGGATCACTGGCCCTCAATCAATCTGGGCACCGCCATCATAGAGGCCATGATCTCGATGAGAGTCTCCATCAAGGACAAACCCACAATCAGCCTGGGTCCCAACATGGAGTGGCAGAAAATAGGCCGTTGTAGTGGCAGTACTTGGGCACATGAGTAGTAGCTTGCCGTAGTCGTAGTCGTAGTCGTAGTCGTAGTAGTAGTAGTAGTAGTAGTAGTAGTAGTAGTAGTAGTAGTAGTAGTAGTAGTAGTAGTAGCAGTAGCAGTAGCAGTAGCAGTAGCAGTAGTAGTAGTAGTAGTAGTAGTAGTCGTAGTCGTAGTCGTAGTCGTAGTCGTAGTCGTAGTCGTAGTCGTAGTCGTAGTCGTCGTAGTAGTAGTAGTAGTAGTAGCAGCAGCAGCGGCAACAGTAGCGGTAGCGGCAGTAGCAGTCGCAGAAGGAGTACGAGTAGGGATCGGAGTAGGAGTAGTAGTAGTAGTAGTAGTAGTAGTAGTAGTAGTCGTAGTAGTAGTAGTAGTAATAATTATAATAGTAGCAGCAGCAGCAGCAGCATCTAGCAACACTGTAGTCGTCGTCGTAGTACGACGACGACTTGTACCACAACCACGAATAACAATGACAATAAAACTATGCATGTTGCATGCCACTGTTGAGGTTGTTGCAAATCACTTCGGTGTCTTCCTTCTGCATCTGGTGCACATGTTGATCGCCGTCGCCAATCAAACAAATGTTGTCAACAGTGTTATGGCCTCTTGCTGATGTTGCTGTTGCTGTTGTTTTTGCTGCTGCTGGTGGTGTTGCTGTTGTGCAATCGTTGGCAGTTGTGGTGGCGCTGCTTTTGTCGCTGTTGCGATTGGTGATGGTGGGGTTGATGATGGATGACTGTGATCATCACGATAAAAGTATGCCATTGTGAGTACTTCATTTAAGGCATTCGGGCCAAACCACACAACAATACACTTTCTGCATCGCCGACTGCCTTCCCTTCCCCAACAGGTCCTTGTGCTGTAGAGCCACATGTCAAAGAGATTCCACCACCGCTCAGAGCCACAGAAAAACTGGCGTACCCCATGCGCTAATAGCTTCATGAGCAACTCTAGCACGAAGATCAGTACCTTGGCACGAGTGGCTTCGAGCTGCTTCGTGCTCGTACACAGGGACGAACGGAAGAAGAAGTAGCTTGCAAGGCAGCTCGCTTGACAAAACGTCCTAACGAGCTCAAGGGCGAACTTCCCAACCGAAATCCACAGCAGGCAACGATTGATTCCCACAAGCGAATACTGAGTCACAGAAGGATGGCCCTGGACCAGTCTATGAGCATTCCTTGCACAACCTTCGGAGGACCACCTGACAACAGCTATGCAACAAAAAACAACAAAAAGGCCTGCACACTGTCTTGCGGAAGGACGACTACCTTGCTCTCCTAGCAGCCTATGAAGACTGCACTGCAGTCTAGAACGATTCCACAACCAGAAGTTCCATTCACCTTTCCGATATGCATATGCTTGACGACCAAGTCGGGGATACGGGATTCAGCCCCACGTCTGTTCGCCCCACGCGCCGCGCTACACCTTCTTCTGAAACCACCCCATCCGAAAGAAGCCCAGAGACCTGCTGAAACGAGCGAAATCAGCCCACACTTGTCAAGCCTGTAAGCCCTGTAATTATTGTAGGGGCCGTAATATTTAGATTCGGGTTTTGGGGCCCATTCTACTATAACTATAATAAGGACCCCCCAAAATGGTATAGGTAAGTATTTAGGCCCCTATATCAAGCCCTGTACCCCTGCACCGTATGAAGTTCTGTGCAGCGGCGATGACAACATTCGCCACCCAAAAGCCCTGTGGCTCGTCTCCAGGCCTCTAGGGGCAATCTTAAACGACAATTGTTATCTTGATTTCTTATTGTTATTATTGTCACTATTATGACTCTGATTAGTGTTAATACAACCCTTATTACATTATGATTGTCGCTTTAGGAAGAGCACAGAACAGGACCTGAACTCTTGACTATCAGCCGTTTATTCCTTAAATTCGGAATGCGATTGGACAATTACATCTATGCTGATAGCAAGCTCGTTCCCTGTGTTGCTTGCGCGCTGCAGTGACCCGCTGAAACGACTGGAGATGCTCGCAACATCCGTCCGTGGCCGCCGAAGGAAGCTTCTTCAGCATTTTACAATCCGTCTGCGACCCTAGACTTGGGTGAGCACCAGGATCTTCAAGAGCACATGCTGCATGCGCGCATCACTGCAAGGAAGTCCCACTTCAAAACGTCAGACTCTAAATTCCGAACACACGTCGTGCCGTCTTGGTTTGAGCATGGGCAACTGTTGACGCCAGCTGCAACACTTGTCTTGAGAACACAACACACAACTACTCTCAAGCCTTCTGTTAGTCATAATGCCCTATTTTTCCTTCCACTCCTTATGTACTTCGAAGTTACAGTCAATCAAGGATAGCTTCTGAAAGCCAACACAGGAGTGTTGGCAATCTCTGTTGATTACCTAGGCTTCCCCGGAATCCAGCCGGTGCTAGACACCGTGCAACCCCGATAATCCTTCAGGAAATGCGCTGGGTATGCCAAGCCACGAAAGCCGTGCAGCGGTATCAACCTCCACGCCCAGGATGATTAAGTTCACCTCGTGGTTGCGGGGGGCGGGACTGCTGAAAACTAGGACTTCCTTACAGGGGGTCCGGATCCTACTGTCAGGGATCGGTGTTTGTGTTCCTGGTTCAGCATGAATGTTTGCGTTTCAAACACACAAGTGTTGGCACAACCGTCGTTGCACAACCAGCTTGTTGCATGATGCTGCAGGCTCTTATGCCTGGAGATGAACAACTCGGCACCTACCTGTATACGACACTACACAAAGACGCACAACGACCTACACAGGCAAGCAAAACTGCACGCACATACATACACGCGAAGACACACCAAACAATACACAAAAAAAGCAAGCAAGCCGACAAACAAACAAGAATACATAAATACACGCTAACGCACAGACATGCACACATGAATGCACATACACAGAAATACATACATACATTCATACATACATACATACGCACAGACATACATCTGTATGTCTCTGTAACTTTCTATCTACCGAACCATCTATCTATCTGCGCATGTATGTCCATATACGTATATGTATATATACATATAATATAAATAAAAATATATATATATATATATATATATATATATATATATATATATATATATATATATATGTAGTGTACAAAGATATACGTGTGTGTATATATATATATATATATATATATATATGTATATGTATATATGTATATGCATACATGTACACCTACAGATACAAATGCATATACAGATGTACATGCAAATACACCTATACATGTACATACATACAGACAAGCACAGACATACATATCTGTGTAAAGAAAAATACAAGTGAACATACACACGTACAAACCCCCTTCTTCTGCACAGACAAGAGAGCCAAAGCAGGCACTCCGCCACTCCGCGCGCAAACGCAAACCGGTTATAATCGAGCCCTCCGCCTCTCTCTCTCTCTCGCAGTCATTGTCTTTCGCCAAGGCAATTTCGCAGTCTATCTCTCTCTCTGTCTCTCTCTCGCTTCCTTGCTCTGCTCTGTCTGTCTGTATGTGTATAGACATACATATGTATGTGTGTGTTAAAATCTACATTTACATGTAATGTGTATACATGTAATGTGTATACATGTATATACACATGTGCAAAAATCGAACACACACATGTGTTTGAACATATATACGCATACAAACATACAGAGCGGAACCAACTACAGACCCGTTTCACGAGGATGCCAGGAATGCATTAACTTTCCTGCCACGGGTCCTATCTGCCACGTATGTGTATACACACATATATATATATATATGTACACACATACACATACATACATACATACATGCAGCCACATATAACTCTACATATCCATATATAAGTATACACATTGTATATATACAAGCAAACATGCACACGTCTGTATTCATGGTATGCATGCCTGATATGCATACATTTACAGACACATTGCATACACCTAGGCCGATTGGACTGAGCTTGAACAAGAAACGCCTGATAATGCACTGTCGGACCAAGTGGCGAGAATGGTGGCCTGAATTAAATAGGTAAACCACGCAGACTGCACCACGCACATCAGAGAACAAGACTTGCCCAGGTTCGTGTCGATCGCCTCGGACTGCATGACCAGAACGTTCGTACAAGTTTGGTGCTCCGTTGTGGGACTGCAGCAAACCCAGCTCTGATTCGCTCATGAACTGAGTTTTGGGCGGGCAAGTACGATTAAGAACGGTGCTGCTAGTTGTGTTTGCCTGTGCTGGTGTTGGTGGTGCTCCTGGTGCTGGTGTTTTTTCCGCGCTGCCATTTGTACGCTCTGCTGGCTTTGATTGCTCCTCTCGCCGATGCTGCTGCCATGTACGGCGTCTTTCTTGTTGTTGGCGGTGGTGGTGCCGCTGCTGCTGGTGGTGCTTGCTGTTACTGTCGCTGGTGGTGGGGGTTGGCGGTGGAGGAACGTGATAATGATCATGAACATGCTGCTGAGGAGGAGGAGGAGGCGCTGATGATGATGAACATAATCATCACAAAGGCCTTGGTGGCATCATGGTGTGGGGATACGGGGCTGGTGATGCTAATGCTGATCAAACATGTCAACTATGATGATGATGGTGCTGGAGATGATGCTGGAGATGATGATGATGGTGGCAGTAGTGGTCCTGATGATGGTTCTGGTGGTGACGGTGCTGGCGCTGGTGGTGGCGCTGCTAGCTGGTACCTGTCGTGGCGGCGTTCTTCGTTGCGGGCATCGTTGCCGTTCTTATACCCACTGTGAATCTACAGAGGCTGTGTTCACCAAGTTCTGAACCCAGCTGCAGCAACCGGCTGCTCCCCCTCTTCGGTCTCAAAGCTCTGCGACTGCACAGTGTTCAACTTCGCAGTTTTCGCAGCCAGCATTGCCTGCTGAAGCAAGAGCCCAAAGGCCCCGAAAAGCCCAGTGCTATCGCTATCAATGCTGAAACAATACATGGTGCTGTGCTGATTGCGGCAATGGTGGGGACAAGGGGGGACAAGGACAAAGGCTGTGCGAGTTCATGGCTTGGTGGAGGAATGGAGAGATGGAGAGGCGGCGAAGGCCGTGGTAACAGCGTGGTTGGACAGGTGTGGCATGACGAGAGGAGTAAGCACCAATTCGGTAACCTCGTGCTAACAACAACACAGCCGACATGCTCCTGACATGAATGATGAGTGGACAACTGCAGACTAGCACGGCCTCATCTCCTGTCACACCGATCGACAGTTCGTGCCAAAACCGCCCATGCTTCAGTCCGAAAAAGCGGGCAGAAGTGCAAGTCCTCCTTGAAGATGCTTGGATTGCTGGCCCGTCATCAGAGAGATACTCTACATCTGCAGCAACAGCAACACACCCACAACAGTTCCTCCATCACCGTCGATCGGTTCCTAAACAAGCCGGAATCATGGTCACAATGTTGGCACAAGCTGTACTGGCTATACTAGCACCACCACCACCTCCGAGCCTACCCGTTTAATCACCACCAATATCCGGTACTATCCCAATCCTCTTGCCGGGATGGCCTTCTTCTTGTGGCTTTGGAAATCCCCTGGCCGAGGATGGGCCACTGATGGGCACAGCCGGCCAATAAGCTCGGCGCAAGACAGCCAAAATGCGCTACAAGACGATTAGCAATGATGAGAGCAAGGATAGAGAAAACCCAGACTGCACGGACTGCAAGGAAAGACGCCGGAAGTCCTCGAACGTCTTGTTCAACATCCCTCAAACTGACGGGAATCCCCCATGCAGTTCTGCAGCCCGCGCCTTGCATGAAGGATGACCAGGATGCCACTCCCGCCGAGCCTGTAATATCGTTGTTGCTCCTCAGATCACTTCTTGCTAAGTCTGCGGTCTTGAGGAACCTAGACACGACCTCGTAGGAAAAAGTCAAAGGCAACCGAAAAACGAAGGACAGGCGGAGATCAAGATGCGGGTCTGTTCCCCGTACTTCACTCTGAAGAGCTCGCTTAGATACGAAGCTTGGGTCGTACAGGTGGCATCCTGCGATCTAATATAGTATATCCGTATTCATATTACATATTATCAGAAACGATCATATCCTGTTATATACTATATACTTTCATATATTTTCCTATACTATTATATACGAAATCCGACACTCAGCCTTCAAACCTCGGCGGTCAAGGCACGACGTGTGCGACATCAGCCCGGAAGACTCCAGCCCCAACCTCGGGCCGCTGCAGTCTGACACGTGCCAAGAGGCAAGGTGGAACATACATATTTTCTATATATATATATATATATATATATTATTTAACAATAGTATAATATAGCACAAAATAGAAAAATAATGTGACAGTATATAATAGTATGTAACAGTATATAATGGGGTATACTATAGTACAGTATGATACAATATAATTCGTAAAAACGTCATATAACAAAATCTTTTCCCATGTAATGCAATATACTATAGTATATGTTTGTTGATATAACGCAATACAGATGACTGTATTCGCAATCCGAAGCCTTGGGGACTCAGCGGCGGAATATCCTCGCACGACACGGTCCTGCAGCATCAAAACACGTAAACTCCGAACCCCGCGGACAATGAAAGTGGCCAGGAGACAAAGCACCCGGACTTTCGGCTTCACTTTGACCCGGTGTCGGTGGTATCAAGAGGGCCTGTACCGAAGAAGTGTCTCGAGTATTGCGGCGCTTCTCAGCTGGGGATTTCGAAAGGGATACAATGATAAGCGATCCGATAGCACATTTCAGGATGCATGTTTGCTGCGCCGGGGGACTTCGGACTGAAGGATCCAGTTCTGCGGACTTCAGCTTCCATGCAACGAAGCCTTGTATCCCGATGTCTGGGTGCCTACGAGTTATGTGTGAAGGTCGGAGACAATTCTAAGGAACAGCCACGGTCTTATGGTGAAGAGGACAACTCGCATGCACGAAGAAAAACCGATGCACCGCAAGACGCCATCACTCAAGTTTTACCTCCGAGAACCTAAACCCCAGAAGCGCAAACATCACGCGCAAGACCGGAGAACACCAAGTGATCACCCCTACAGTAGCCCCCAGCCTGTGTCACCGGAGGGGACGGTCCGACTGCCGTCCCGAGTTGCTGAGGGGTCACCGATCGGGCGAAGTGCTTCGTGTCCAGACTCGTCTGGATCGCCTCGGCTCTTAGGGTTTGCAGGGGGCTTTACATAAGGTGGTTTCAAGTCAGAGCCTACGCCCTGAACCCATATCCCCAATAAGCAAACTTAGGTGGCGGCTTTCACCTGCTGGGACAGCTCCTGCAAGGCCTGAGCATCTCTACGAGTGGAGGTCTGCGACACCCAACACTCTGCAACGTGAAAGGGTGTGTAGGGCGTATAGGATCTAGAGGCTGTAGAACCCCCCAGCCGCTCAAACGATGTCGTCACTCTAAACCTCCAGCATAGCATAGCAAAGCGAATTCCACACTCCGAACCTGCAAGCACGAAAGACATTCTCAGCTTCAACAGCAGCTGAATATAAACCAACATCAAGAAGCAGCCGCAGCCTTTTTACATAACCTTTGCTGAACAGTATGACATGAGTATTTCTGTCAGTGAGATGTTTATCTGACAGTGACATCGCGAACGATGCTCGAGTTGCAGTAGCCAGGCAACCTTCAAGTTCTTGGAAAAGTTGTCTTCGAGGTATCCGCGAAGAGTGTCCTGCATGAAATCATTGGAGCATGTCTCGAGTTCAGATTGAACATGTGCAGCATGTTGAGGATGGTTCCGAGTGTGGTTCCGAGTGCAGCATTTTGAGGATGGTTCCGAGGCAATGTAGAAAAACCCGATTACTGCAAAAAGGTGCTTGTACATGTGGACTTATCTGGCTCTTGTGCTCTATCTCTGTGTTTGTGCATGTATGTATGTGTAACTTTTGAAATGCTTGTATCCAAAAACAGAGTGGTGCTTGGGCTTGTGTGTCTGCCTTCGTGCCTGGGTGAATTGCTGTGCATGCGAGTAGCCAGATTCACTGAATGAGGGTTTGGAGTGACCCGGAAGACGCAGCTCCTCGCAGCGCTGATCCACATCGACCTCACTGAGATCCAGCTGGTCCTTCGGGTTCAAGCCAACCCCTACCACTACTACTACTACTACTACTACTACTACTACTACTACTACTACTACTACTACTACTACTACTGTAACTGTAACTCGGAGAGCAGCGAGGCTGGCGTCCGAGGAAGTTGGTGAGGACATTCGCGGCGATCGGACTGGGGGTTCGACATGAGGAGTACGGTGGGCAGCCTATCGGTGGTTTGTCGTTGTTACCCGAGGCCGAAAAAAAAAGATCATCTAGCACCATGCGCACTTTACATATGTGCTTTTCTTCGGACATGGCACCCTCGATGCTAACTACGACTTTCCGAGAGTCGCCCAGTGGGAAGTATCGGCAGATGCACTGTGTCTTTGATATCTTCTGGGCCGAACAAACCAAGAACCAGGCCTCCACAGGCGATGACACTCTCGATCCCCGAGCCCAATGCCCGTAATGTGTCAAGCCCGGATCTCGATCTGGACCCCGAACCCTTGAAAGTGTCCTTCATCTCGTCTGCAGTCCCCAGGGCATGCATGCTGAGGCAACGAAGCAGCTTCAGTCAGCGCCGAAGCGCCCGACTTGTATGTTGATCTAAAGTGTAAGTGGCTCCAGGCCTATAGCCATCAGGATACTCAGAACACATAGCAGTATCAGTAGCAGTGGCAGTGGCGGTAGCACCACCACTAGCAGTAGGAGCAGCACTAGGAGGAATAGGAGTAGAAGTAGTAGGAGTAGGAGTAGGGGAGTAGGAGTAGGTGTAGGAGTAGTGGTAGTAGTAGTGGTGGTAGTACTAGTAATCGTTGTTGTAGCTGATGCTGCTATTTTTGTAGCAGCAGTAGTGGTAGTAGTAGTAGTAGTAGCAGCAGCAGTAGTAGTCGTCGTCGTGGTAGTAGTAGTAGTAATAGCAGTAATTATTACTATGAGGAGTAGTAGCAGCAGCAGCAGCAGGCAGACTTGGTGGCAAGGCTGGTAGAGGTAGTAGTGGTGGCAGCAGTCGCTGCCATAGTCGTGATAGCAGCAGCAGCGGCAGCGGCAGGAGCGGGAGGGAAAGGCGGATGAAGAGGACTAGCAATAGTGCCGGTTGTTGTCGCGTTTTCATCGTAGTCGTAACAGTGTATCAGCAGTAGTCGCCGTCGTACAAGTAGTATTTGGCGTAGTTGTCAGCGTGGTCGCCATCGTGGCCGTCGTCGCGGCCGTCGACAGTAGTAGTGGTTAGTGGTGGCGAGGAGGTGGAGCAGCAGCAGAAATAGCAGAAGTAGACAAGGGGTTCTGTTCAAGTGACGCACCAATACGGGCTAGATTCGGCTAGATCCTAGATCATCGCTATCCCCAGACTGATGTCGGTTCGTCGGCGTGCTAGAACATGGCAGGCATACTAACCTACGCTCTAGCAGGGTGCTTAAATCTGAGTGCAGCCTTGTCTTTGTAATCAGATGGTGGCCTCTGACGGAAACCCGGTGAAAGTGGCTGGGGCACTTTAAGCGGCCCGGCCAAGGATTTCGAGGTGACCTCCTCTGGAAAGAACTAAGTCAGCTGTGGTCTTCATTTGTCGAGGGAAGGCTGAAGAAGCACTCTTCCCAAGCCATTGTGGACTGTCTTTGTGCTGAACCTCCTTAACAATCACCAGGAGCAGGTGTTCCTCGAAATCGTCTGCTGCAGCGGAGACTATCGCACGGGCAATGCTGAGCCGAGCCAACGAAAAGTTGAGGCAAAAGGTTCTCGACTTCGATATTTCTGTGCTGCAACCTGAACAGGCTTCCAAGATCGAACCAGGCTTGTCCCGCTGCTATAACATATGTATGTATGTATATACATATATATATATACACATAACAGTCTATAATACTAGGATATGATAGTATATGATAGTATATAATATGATATACTATATTACACCTGAAGCCTTTGGCCCCCGGTTTAGGGTCCTCGAAGCGACAGCCTACAAGGCATGCTGCACGATCCTGAGCATGAGAAGTCGAATACTCATAACAGAACAGGCATCGCCGCTAGGAGCTCCGTTGGAAGGGGATGGGTTGTCACTAGCACTCCAGGAATCCTGTGCTACCTCGACTACTTAGTTGCTTCTACATCCTTCAAGCTTCGGCTTCGACGCTTCTGGCGTAATCCTACAGAAGCCTGTCCACAATGTAGATAACGTATGACGTCCATACAGGTACCCATTCTTAAGGAGTAGATGGTCACAATCGGCAGTACCTGGAAGGTCCTAGTCTTAGTGAACCAGAAGCTGAAGGCCAGGAGACATCGTCAGGCGCGGCGACACACCCAGTGTGTTGAACAAGGCGACAACGGCCACCGGGTCTGTTGCTGATAGCACCTTTATAACATGTCTAAGCACGCAACCGAAATGGAAAGCTAGTTAGTTGGCAATAATCAAAAGAGAGAGAGAGAGAGAGAGAGAGAGAGAGAGAGAGAGAGAGAAACAGCAGCCAAGATCGGAGTGATAAAGATCATGGCTGCCGCGAGACTAGCAGCAGCTGTGCGAGACGGAAGAACAAACTAGCGGTTCCCCCTCGCCACGAAAGGTGCGAATGCGTGACGTTCGCATAGAAAGGCTTTGGAAAACAACTTCAGGGATTTGCTGTGTTGTTGACATTGACGGAAGTTGCACAAGCTCCCCTGATGCAACAAAGCAAACAAAATGGCAAGGTACACGTACACAGCCAAAGACTCAGAACAAACAACCAATAAATAACAAACAACAAGCCAGACCAAGAACCGAACAACAACCAACAGCCCATGACGACCAACAAGAAACAAATAGGAGAACGGCTTTGGTACACCACCGCCGCTACTACCGCTTCTGCTTCTGCTACTACTACTACTACTACTACTACTACTACTACTACTACTACTACTACTACTACTACTACTACTACAGCCACCACCAGCACAACTAGCGCTAACTACCAGTTACCACAACCAATACGACACGACTGCAATTTTTTCTACCACTGCTGCTGCTGCTGCAAAGCTGCCTCTACCAGTACAAGCTCTGGGCCGAGAAAGACGCGCAGACACACGCAACACACAGCGCGCGATGGGCAACTCTAATCACCATGTCAAGGCAAACCGGCAAACCTCAAGTCATGATACGCCACGGTGCTGCTCCGAAAGTCAAGGACACGCTCCAGGTCCAGCCATACGGCAAGATGTACCTGCAACAGAATGGGCAAAACCAGGTGGTGGGGCTTGTCAGGGTCGCGGCCACCGACGTTGATCGTCTTTACGGAGAAGCTGATGATGTCATGACCATGACTTTCGCTCTTGCGCTGAGTCGGAGACTCACTCGGTCGCTCGGAACTAAACTCAACAGAATGCGGAACGCTAAACTGTGCGGAGGGAAGCGTCGCACATAAGTCGTCTCGGTGTTATATAGTTACTGTTAGTTTCTCCGCCGGCTCGTTCGCCTCCGGGAATGTTGCGGTTCCATGCTAGGCTCTCGATCAGAACGAGAATCTCTGGAGGTCGATTGCGTAGAACCGCAGCCATGGCTATCTTTCGCAAAGGCTTGGCATTAACCTCTGACCGCCTTGCAGCATGGCTGAAAGACTTCCATCGTGCTGACATCGTCGTCTGTCATCTTCGTCATCATAGCCATTACTGCTACTGACACCATCATCACGACCATCATCCTTGAGCGTGCCTTGCGACGAGTGCCACCATCCCAGTGCCCAGAAGTACGCCCGGGCATGCCAGAAGAAACACCTGGGCACTTGATTCTGAAGAGGCGTTCTTTCGCTCAACTCAACCAGAGCGACTCACATCTGGATAAAAAGCGGATCCAATGGCATTTCCTGAAACATGAAGGGAAGGCCTCACAGAAGAAGCAAGCAAGTCCTTCAACCTGAAGCTGCAGATTTGCAGCAACCAAGCCCCGTTTTCACGCCTTGCAATATGTGCTAAGCTGTGCCCTGAGAAGTTCGAGGGACCTGCCTGACAGCGTGATGGACGCATTATTCCACGTCCTATCAGATCTGAAGTGTGAGGCCCAACTATACAGAAGGGCTCAGGGCAGATGTCGACAGGCCACGGGCCCGACAGTCCCAAAAGCGGTTACTTCCCAAAGCCGGGAGCATTTCGGCATTCCAAGCCCTGAGCTGCAATTCCAAAAACCAGGCCTGTGCGAAGCACTTCTGCACCAAGCGAACGTTCAGCTTCATAGCCTCAACTAGTGATCGTGGACATCGGTCGGAAGGCATAAGGGATCTGGGACTATGAGCATCCCTGAGCCAGGAACCCAATGCAAGACAAGAGGAATCAGGTCTTTGATTCGATTGTACGGGATAAGAGTATGTAAGTTGCTTTCAACCAGGAACCCATCCTCAAGCCGTGAACCCGAAGCGACTCACGAAAGCCATGAGGGTGCACCAGAAACGCCTTCAACAAGTCCAAGAAAGGAATCTCCCACTTGGGCCAGAACAGCATGAGCCCAGCAGCACTGCTTTTCCTTTTCTGCAACCAGATATTTCTCTCTGAGTCAAATCTATCTTTCAAAGCCCTGACATCCCAACGGAAAGCTTCTGAAGCCACGTGGGCCTCGCTGAAGATCAAGGGTGGAAGGAAGCTGTAGAAAAGGAGGTGTGGATTGATCCCTTCCTGGATCAAGCAGACAAGAAGCAAGGGGGCTGGCCTGAGCAGTACTTTGAGGGCTTGTGCAACTGCTGTTGTAGCGGATGCCACACATGAAGGGTTCAGGGGTTCCTGCTTTCGGTTTAGGCAGTCTAGGCTTCAGCAGTGAAACCTGCTGCGATTCAGGTTCGCCTAGCTTTTCTTCGCTTACCCCACAGGCAGAGCAATTGGAGACCGTTGCACGTGCACAGAGCCCACTCGCCAGATCCATGAAGTCTCGGCAGTCTCTAGAAGCGCAATTGCCTGTAGGCCCGCTAGAGGTAACCTGTGAGGCAGACACCATCAAGTCAACTCGGACAGACGATCCGTGAGAAGATGTCGGCGTATTACTTTCTGCGTCCAGGCTTGTGGTCGCTCGTGGAAATTTGCGCACAACTTGCTAACTAGGGCTTAGGGTTCCGATGTGAATCGCCTTAAGAAGCTTCCATGTGCATCCGAGCGTCCCACTTCTCGACCTCGGCAAGAAACTGCTCGGTCGGGGCAGCTTTGTGGGGTTCAGGCGAAGGCAAACCGTACTGGTAGTCAGCTACTGTAGGAGCCGCACGAAGTAGAACACACATGTATCCTCTTCTCCGACGACTTGTAGACATCAAACTGTGCGGGTGGTACTAGAAATACAGACAATGTAGCATCACCGCCATCGCCACCACCGGCACCGCCTCCACGACCACGGCCACCACGACCACCACCATCATCAACCAGCCACAGCCACCAGCACCATCAACACCACCACCAGCACCACCGCCACCATCATCACCAGCACCACCACTGTTACGACAGTGACAATCGCCCACGGCATTCGTCATCCTCCGCATCATCCCCTCCTTCAGGTGCATTATAAAGCTTGCTTACGATCCGCACTATGTAACCTTTTGATCTTACGATCTCTGCATCGTCAACGCCTGTACCTTGACGAGTTTTGTTGTGATGGTAATTGCTAATTTTCCGCACTGTTTCTCACCTAGGACCTGCTTAGAACCACCTTCCATGATTTGATCCTTGACATCCACAAATGCGTGATTGTAGAAGCAGGCGTCTGAAAGCAACGCTCACATCGGCACCTGAGAAGAATGGTCTGGCCAGGGCACGGATCGAAACCAACTTGACCAGCTGATGGTAGATTCCTGAATAATTTATACGTGCGCTGCATTCAAGGTCGGCACACAACATCTCACGGCACCAAATGGCACCAAGTAGTTTAGGTAACTGACACCATGGAATCGGGCCCGCACTGCACATGGCGCAGGTCTTAAAACGAGCCTACAGCCACATGCCCCAGTCAGAAGCACCACGGGATGGTGCAGGTCACATGCTGTGCAGTCAAGTGACATACACACACACACACACATTCGCGTAGATTGTCGAATTACTATTTCTTGTTGGTCTTTATAACTGCAGAAGGAAGTCGGACGTTCAGCACATGCAAACGAGACTCTGGCGTGCGCGAAAAGTGCCACGAAGCAAACACGATGCCGCACAGGAACCTTGCAGAGAGGGCAAGGCAGGGTCAGGGCTTCAGTGCTGACGATCTCAGACGACGTAGATCCAGGAGCGTGGTGCGAGGACTCTTGACAGCGGGTTCGGTGTGGGGACACAGGGCTTGAAACACCTTGATCCACCAAGCTTCCAGGAAGGTGAAATTAAGGCAGCTTCATGGAGATGTGCCACAAGGGAGCTGGGGAAGGATGTTAGAACGGATCTCGAAGTTCGCGTGCTCTCTGACTTCTCGGTGAGTTGAAGGGTTAGAGCTGAGGGTTCAAAAGTTCAGAAGCGATGCTTATATTCAACTCATGCTCCCCCGAGGATGCAGTCTGACAAGACCTCATATAATACAGGCTTCATAGGCTACAACATCTACTGAATCTACTTCATAGCTGCATCGAATCCCGGTGTCCTGATGCACAGGAAGCCCAAGATTACTCCCAGCATCAGTACCAGAAACTGTCGGGTCAAACTCTCGTGCGCAGGCGAGATGCATCGCCACTGTGTAAGGCAACGCAGGAAGGAGACGCTCCAAACCCATCCTCACAGCATTGAGAGATCTAGAGGATCTTCATGCAGCCTGCCGGTTGGGGAGGTTTTATGCTTGCGCAGGGGTGTCAACATGGTTTTGTGGTGGCCCACAATGTTTTCAGCCAACCGAACGTTCGGGTCACATCAACAACAGCCGTGTTCGTTCGATCGATGCTGTCTCAACTGTCGTGGGGTCTGCTACGGTAGGGCTGAGTCAAGTATGATCTACCCAAAGGCCCCAAAGTAGTTCCTTTTGGGGGTTCATATATAGAATCCTATAAGGTAATCCCAAAAAGGAACGACTATGGGGCCTCTGGGTACAGTGTTCGGAAAGGTTCACATCAGACTTTAGCTGGTATTTGTAGGTAAACACGTGGAGCTGAGCAAGTTACGAGGACGAGTCTCTCGGCAGCTGTTGAGAAGATCTGTATTTAGCGGATCCTTTTGCTGCGTGGATTTTGGAGCATTGGGGGACCTAGGAGCCTGCCTTTCTGCACAAGTCAGCTGCAAGAAGCTGGCCCCCTGTGCCGCCGGTCTAAACCTCTTAGAGTTTACTGACTCGTCTTCTCTGCCCCATCAGAGTCGGGATCCTACAGAGCCATGTAGATCTGCAGATCTGTCCAGTGAAAAGTCTCGCTTTGAAAGCGAAGCCGGCTAAGGTTTAAGGCAACTGCACTCCTGGACAACAAAACATTGAAGCCAGCTATATAAGCCTTACTCACAGCCGGGACGCATCACCAGTGCTCCTAGGAGGATCGAGCCAAAGAACATGAGGATGACGACCTGCACTCTCGGGCTCACTAGTTTGGTTTGCGATTACATGCAGGTTGGGATTGGATGTGTATAGCACGGCAGTTTGTCCTAAAGGCTTCTTGGCCACCGCGTGTCTTTTGAATCTCTCGGTCTCTTGGAAACCCTGCTGTCATCGTTGATGGGCAGCACGGCTTACATGACAGCAACCGCTCGGCCAGTCGATGCAAGCTGCGTTTCCCTTAAGCGACGGGCAGTTCTGCTCCGAACAGTCACCATTTTGTCGTCTAAGCATCACGCATAAAAGTTGAGGGCTTATGAGGCTACCATGCAGGGCTGCACCGCAACGTTGCGGAAACTACCGTCCAACCAGCTGCCACTGTCTCACCCCGGGCCCCAAGTCCGCTTAGGTGGATGAATGGATAGATGCATTGACCGATCGATAAGGCATGCAGCCAACTTACAGGGTGTCGACGTCTTACCTGGTGTCCTGAAACCCATTGAAGCTGCCAAGCGCAGCGTAAGTCCAGCTGGGGTATGTGCAAGTGCAAGGGTTCGGGCCCCAATGTCTCACGGGAGTACGACTTCGAGCACCAGGGCCCGCACATATCCGTCAGCGTGCTCCTGCATCAGAGCAGTTCGGTTCCCAATATTAGCACGCACTTGTTTTGACCTCAGCGCGCCAATGCAGACTATGGTTTCTCATGCTTCTCAGGACAGTATGATTCCGGATTGCTGATCTTACACCCGAACTCCTAAGTATCCCTACTTAAACCCAAAGCCTTTGCTGATCTGCCCTCCTTTCCGGTAGAGTGACTCTGCTCCTCGTGGGCGTCCTTCGCCTCTTTCAAGCCATGTCCGCTCCTGAAAGAAGAGGGGGGTTGCAGGTCGGCACTTCGGGCTAAGTTTCGGAGGTCGGTGCTGCGATCCAGTTTTGTGTCTGTTCTTGTGCTGTGACCCGTGTGGACTGCATGCGGAAGTTCGAGCAAAGCATCACTGACTACACCCTGGAGCCTTTGCAAACCTCACACCCTTGAAGCCTTGATGCCCACCCGATAGACTAACAAGGCTTACCCTCGCTTCTGCCCAAATCGGAAGCCACATATCATTCGTCAAGGGGCCTGATAAAATACTCACGTAAACACGATTAACATCCACATAAAGCACCGTTTTGTGTATCCTCAACAGAGTTGCAGTATCAGAAATCTTCAAAGCCGATATTTGGAGGCTGTCATTGCCCAAGCATCTTCGTGGGCTCCAACGAGTCGCCCAAGAGGTCCTCAGCTCTCTGTCTGTCTCCCTCCCTCTCTCTTCTTCTTCAGCACTCTCTCTCTCTCTCTCTCTCTCTCTCTCTCTCTCTCTCTCTCTCTTGTTTATTTTAGTTGTATACCTATATCTACAAAATATATGATGTGTATATATATATATGTATATACATGTACGGTGCTTGATGAGTGTTGATGACCGCGCGTCACAAGCAAACGCAGGATGACTCCTTGGCTGCGAGGCTTCTTACCCTGAGATGGTAATGTAAATAGTATCCTGTGGAAACCATGGTGCTATCCGCTTGACTACTGATCGTGATGATCGTCGTCAGGGCTTACGCTAATTATAGGGCAAGGGGCCTAAGGCACAGTTAGTTAAGGGATAGATATCCACACTTCCGCAAGCAAAAGCAACGAGTCAACACGCATATGTCACATGCATCTTCGCATGAACCAATAAGCCCCCGAAGTGAACACAAGCAGCCGCTTCGAGGACCAAGTCAACATATCCTGTCTCGGCGTGCATTCTGACAATCAACACGGCCTCTGTGCATAAAATCCTAGCACTTTCCAAAGAACCAACAATAGCATCTTCAGGAGTGTAAACCCCGATGATGAGCAGTAACTATGCCCTAGAATCCCGAGAAAAAGCGCACATCAGGCAACACCCTCAATTAATAACAATGCCGACACGTGCTGTCTTAAAGTGTCGACATTGACAAAAGCCACTACCTCTCAGAGACACTGCCACGATTGGAAACAAGCCTCACGGCAGCACCATCTCCAGCCAAAATCGATGCTACTGTAAACAAGTCGTGTCAACAACCACGACGCAGAGACCGGGAGGCAACCACCCCAAACGCCGGACTTCGACATGACCCTGAAGAAGCTTGGGCCAAGGATCTGTTCCGAGCTCAGATGAGACGGCGCCGCCGACCTTCTGGGCCCAGGCTTGACTTCTTGGCCCCTCTCAGTTGTCATGGTCCTAGCTGTGGTGAATCTAGACGGCCGGTGAGAACTTACAGAGAGCATCTTGTGGCTCAGCTTCCTAACAGGACTCAGTCGGTTCGAGTAACAAGAGATTGGCGACCCAAATGACGGAGTTGCAAACATCGGCGAGGGCGATACCCGCCAAACAGAAAAGGGCAAAAAAACTCGCTGTGCGCGCTGAAGGAGCAGTAGCCCTTTGGATCAATCCTGACCACTCATCTCCGCCCATGAACAATCAGCTCAAATTACTCTTCTCTCACCGCGGGCGGAAGCAAAGACGCCTCCTCTGGCTCGGCATCCGTGTGCAGTTTCGTTTCCTGGCACGCAGCCATCGTCTTCCATTGTAGCGCAACGTCTCCATCTACGTCTGTCAATAAGGGTGCTTGTGCTACAACCTTTCTGGGCTTTGATGTGATGTCTAGTCTCTCTCTCTCTCTCTCTCTCTCTCTCTCTCTCTCTCTCGCTCGCCACTCTCTCTCCTTCCAGCATGGGCCATGCACCTATGCAGGTAAGCATGCATCATGTCTGCTTATACATCCATGTCTTCCTTTTGCATCCCAGAGGGAAAGTCTCGGAGATCAGGACCAGGAGAACTACACAGTCGGTCTTACAAGGGCTTAGGGGAGATTGATGTTTACAGGTTAACAGGTTGTGGAGTTTGCGGTCGCGAGGGTAGAAGGGTCATAGGGCATCTCGGGATGCAGAGCTTTATCGAGATTGACTCCACTCACAATCCGCGCTGTGCTGAGCAGGAAACGCATGAACAGCCCTTATGTATTCAGCAGGTTGGAACAAAAGAGTCAAACGAGTAGCTAAATAGACGGGCAAGTTGTAACTGTTTTTCTTGTGAGCTCACCAAATGACACTGGGCGTGCATGTATCTATAGGTACACATGCACACGCATCTTTTGGCCTTATACCGTAGATTACTCTACAGAAATATGGGAAGGTCTGGGGTTAAGATAGGGGTATCAGAGCTAAGCCAGGCATCAGTTTCATTTCGTGAGATGGCGCGCTGCAGAAGAGCGCTCGAAGCAGCCTCGCAATGCCGGGCAAGGGCCTTTCAACCTCCGGAAACCTTGACCTCTAAACAGTCGTAGACCCTAAACCCTGAAGACTGAACCCATTTTGCCCAACCCCGGACAATCCAAAGCAAGCTTGCCTGACAACGCATGACTAATGTGTACGGCTACCGCGTCGACGATACCTTACCAGACTTCTTGTCCTTCGAGGAACTCTAGGGTTCCTCCGAAGGCAGCACTACACGAACGACAACAACTGCACGTAACTAGCTGATTTGCGCGTACTATCTTCGTACACCACAAACATTGCACAGTCGCAAAAGCCTCCCCAAGTCCACAGCAGCGGAGCAAGCGGAGTGCCACGGCGAAACAAGAGTGTTATGGGCGATGGCGGAGAGCAGCTTGTTCAATGATGCATAGCAACATGCAACTTTTTGAAAGCCACCGAATCGCGAAGTATGCAGCTGAGCGGCAGGGGTAGTTTCGCAGTTGACATCCGGCCTCTTTGGGATGCCGAGTGGGGTTCGGTTTAGGCTTCAAAACCTCAGCCTCTGAATTGAGATGCTCAGCTTGGACCTCCCAAGAGATCAATCTGAGGGGCAGACATATATTAATAAGAAAACAATTATATACATATACATGTACATATACATGCATACATACATACATACATACGTACATATACATACATACATATATATATATATGTATCGCACAGGCCACCAGACATGCCTTCTGTTCTTGAACGTAGCTCGTGGGTCCAGCTCGGGCGACTGTTTCGAAAACTGTGTTGGGCCCCTAGGGCTCTAGGTTGCTGTGGTCTGACATTTGCTATATGGCCACCGGCGTAGAATTACGAGGATCGCCGAACCCTGGTTGCAATGTGTCTTCCGTCTCAGAACAGAACTCAATGTTCTTGGATCGTGTGAACAGCTCATCGCAACATTGCCACGTCCCATCCCAAACAACAAGTCAGCAGGAGAGGTTGTCCGCCTCTCAGCCAGTGCGACGGTAAGGCAGGACGCCTGGCTTCAGGACGGCTTCTTCCCAACACTTGCTCGCAGAGGATTTGCCTCATTTCGCCGCAACTCTCTTGCCAATATCGTGGCTGTTTGAAAATCCGACGTCAAGGCAATTCCCACAACCGTCCCCTCCCAGCAGAATGCAGCCGAAGCACCAGCAGTAAGGCATATGTAGCCTGGGCAGCTGTGTCAGTGCCGCACTAGTACTGGATGCCCAAAGCGCACTACGTTTGCTAACGAAGACACGGCATGCTATGACAGCTACAGCACTTCGGCCAGTGCAGGCGGCGTTCAGCATGCACCCGCCAAGCCAAGCTAAACCAAGAGTGCGAACTCAAGCATTTTACCTCCGGGGTTCAGTGCACAAATAGAACCACAAGTGAGCAGATGTGTTTTGCATCTGGGAACGAGGCTGGCCATGTACATGACTTCTTCGGCATTGTCCCGCCCCGATGGATTAAACATCAGCAACCCTCGCGTTGGGATAAGTTCGTGATCCCATGACACGTAATCACTTGACACAAGCTGGCTAGAATCGAAGCAAGAACGGACACTGCCTTGCACGCAGTGGCAAATGCCAGCAAACAATGAATGAAAGAACGAACGACTGAACAAACAAACACAAATCAATACACAGACAACAAATTTCCCGAATAGTATGATAACTCTATAGGCCCTGATGTTCGGAGGAAATGAGTAGTCGCCACGCATGCGCGTCAAAATGGCTGCCTGCATCCTAGCTGTGTTGACTCAAGTCAATGGCTCAAGCCCTGAAATGCAAGCCGTGAAGTTAAATCACGAGGCCTAAAGCCCACCAAAATCTTCTTCCTATCCAAGGAGCGATAAAACCCATGATTGTCCGATAAAGTGAACTCCCGTTTCCAGGAGAACGCGATGGAGCCAAATGGCCACTGAGTGAGCAGATACTTGACAAGCTGACTCTTCGTCGAGCTTAGGACTAAAGTTTCTGTCAGAAACACGACCTCAGACATCTTCTCGCCGTCTTCGCAAAGAGGCGATAGAGGAGGGAGAGGGTGAAGGGTAAGCTTTCATAGCTCCCTGGGCAGATTCGGCTCCTTCCGTTTGCGCCCGGTTTTACGAGGTCTCGGGCCCGAGCCTTGACCCGGGCTTGATTAAAAGGTTTCCTTGGGGTCCTGTTAGGCTCCGGATCTCTGCTTGGAGGTTCAGGGTTAGGTATAAGTGGGGTTAGAAGTCCCCTAGTATGGGTTATATGTGTAGTTACCCTACTTATAACCCTACTTATAATAACTACCCCTGCACCTCCAAGTGGGCCTTGTCTCAGCTTTGAGGTTAGGGTTCAGGGTTGTGGC